TATTATTAAACTCTTTTTCACTTATGAGAACTTTTGGAGGTAGTTGGTTTGAGTTTATTTTATTTTTACCAATTATTTCTTTCATAATATCCCAGATTTTTTTTATTATCTCTTTTAAATTTTTGGATTTGATTTGAATAATAATTTGAATTTAAAATTATGGATTTGATTTGAGCAGCCGTGGCGCAGTGGTTAGAGTTCTGGCTCAGAACCCAGAGGTCCGTGGTTCGACGCCAGCTCTAGCCCAACAAGCGAAATTGGTACGGAAAGAGGCGTGAACTTCCTGTTAAATGCTCTCCCGCAATGCTCTATGATAAGACCGTAAGGGCTTCTGGGAGCACCTAAATACACACAAAAAAAAATAAATAATAATAATATAGTTTTTTGGATTTAAATTTTATTTTTTCAAATAGATTTTTATATTGTTTATACTTAGACTAATTAACATAGCTTCGATTATTTAGATATTTTATGTAGAGTTTTTGTTTTTGTTTTGACGATTTTCTTATTCCTTATTATTCTTATTCTTATTCCATGAAGAGGTTAATGCTGTGGTTAATGGTTAGGAAAATGTCTATAAACTTATTGTAAGCTGCGTCCGAGGTTGCATTCATGATATATTTTTGACTAATTTACTTTTAGCTTTTGAGTCGAAAATTTATTTATGCTTCTTTTGATGATTTTTATTTTCAGGTTATTGACACGTTTTGCTTGCTGTGATAGTAAGAAGGAAATTGATAAGTGGTCAGATATATCCATTTTAATATAAACGTTGACTTTAAGACATCCCATCTATGCGTTAATGCAAAAAAGAAGTTATAAGTAAGAAGTTATATGTAAACTAAAGTAGATTCAAGACATATTACTGGAATTGTCGTATGACTAGCCACGGCAGTTTTAAATGTTGATCCCATACAAATTCAACTTTTTCAAAACGATTTTAAGCATGGAAACTGCAAAATGATTATACATAGGAGTGAATTTTAAAAACTGTTAAAATGGTTCTCCGTTTTGTAAAACAATGCAGAATAAAACAGAGTTGGTTAATGTGCATCACATTTTTTTCCTTTTTCACCATTATGTTTGAACTCGAAAGTTCTTTCGAGTCGTTAAAAAAAATTCTATTACAATATTACTGCAAATTGGGATTTTTTTTTAACGCCTTTTTTAAACGAAAAAAATTCCGTATGACTGGCCACGGCATTTTTCGTATGACTGGCCACAGAATTTTAAAAACAGTTAATCCAATTTAACAGTTTTTAAAATTCACTCCCATTTATAATCATTTTGCAGTTTCCATGCTTGAAATCGTTTTGAAAAAGTTGAATTTGTATGGGATCAACATTCAAAATTGCCGTGGCCAGTCATACGACAATTCCAGTAATATGTCTGGAATCTACTTTTCTCATGTCCCAGAAATTTTTAATCTTTGCAATAACAGCGCATACAGTGTCCAGTGTGTCCGTGGGTTAAACCGGCACTGAACTCAACCACTGCAAATTTTAAGCTCGTGTTATTTGCTTAACAACTTGGTAGAAAAAATAAAGAAAAAAATAAAAGTTAAATCAACTATATATTTCTCCCCAAAGTTTCATTACATTTAGTTGATTAAAAAATAAAACATTTGAAATTCTTCAAAACTTATTAAAAAATTTTAAATAAATGTTACTGTTAGTTGACCATTTATTTTGCAGTTTTCGTTAATCCGCGAAATAATTTTCTGTATGAATTCGTTAATTAGTTCGTTAATTAGTTCGTAAATTAGTTCGACTCTTGATCTTATTTCTAGTATTATAAGTTTTTTAAATATTTGTGAATAAATACATGTTTTACGGGAAAAATTAAAAGGTTTCAAAAAAATTGATAGGATACTTTCAGAAAATATTTCATAAAAAGTTCAAGTATCAAAATACTTATCTTTATAACTAAATAAACTACAGAGATGTTCAAACGGTTCTTGAAACATCTTAGAGAATGTGATTTGTTTAAAATAAATAAGAATTAAGCTGGCCGTAAATATTTCTTTAATTCCCTATCTAAAAATTTGTAACTGTGGTAGAATTTAATCTTTTTTGAATAATTATTTTATCACCTTTTCCAAGTAGTAGGAGCAAACTGTGTCAAGTTATCGTTGCCTAATCGTTTTAAAGAGGAATGTTTGTTTTCAAAGTTAACAAGTGAACACACAAGTATCTGTGACATGCCAAATAAATTAAGGAAATTTGTTAAAATAAGGTAACTTATTTCAATAAAACTGTGGACGCCGCAGCCCTCTGGTCTTCGTGGTGTTGGGGGCTATAACTAAGTAAATTTAAATTTGACTAGAGTAGCCTCATAACAAAGGTCATTATCATAACTAGCTCAAAACCTACAAAGTTTTAAAAACAAATTATAATAAACAAAGTTTACTACAATCTTACGATTATCTTTATTATATGTTAAAGGAGACTAAAGTTATTCTATAGAAACAATAAAAAACCAAATTTGAACTGCTTTAGGTCGCTTAGCTACACTTTTAATCTACACTAGGGTTGTTAACCGGAGGATTTCGTGCAATTCCGGAAAAACAACATTCTTTCGTAAGGAGATTGAGAACGAGAAATTACATTTTTTTGTACCGAATGTTACAAAACATTTAAAATCGCCGATGTTCATTTCGCAAAAACTACTTCCGAAATTTAGCATTTCGCAAGTTGACATACGCAACAAAACTATTTTGCAACATACGAAAGTAGCGGTTTCGGAAGTCGCACTTGCGAAACAAACATTTTCGCCAAACGACGTTTTGAAGTCTATAAAGAAAATTTGTTTGCCAGACTGATTTTAATTGTAAAAATTAACATCTTTAAATCCCAAAATGTTTATAATGAATTTTTATTTTCAGTATAAAAACATATTAAATTTTTATGGTTTTATTTTTAGAAATATTGATAAAAAACAAAATTTCTTTCGAAACGAAAGTATTTTGCATCACAACATACGAAAGAGTTCTTAACGGAAATAAACTTACGAAACGTGCCATAATAAATATATATAACGATGTTTTTTGAACTCATTACGTGTAGTTAAAATAAGAATGAAATAAATTATGATGAAATGTACGTAAAACAACTTTTTCAAATAATATAAATCATTTTGCTTTAAATCTTGTGCTTTTTGTACTAGACATCTGTCCTAAACACTTTGTAATAATTTTTAGCTAACTTTGAGTCTATTATAATCATTTCTGAATATAATTTCCTTGAGGCTCCTACAGCCTATTGTGTTCCATTAAAAGTAACTAGTTTTCAAGTCCAGTTATGATTTATAAGCAACTAAAGGTTCACATTACTATTCATTTTCCTGATTTATAGAATCCTATTTGCATACGTATCTCTTTCTGTAAATTCTGTTTTATATAGTTTCTTAACTATATAATAAATAAATATTACTATTCACTTAGTTGAATAAACGTATAGTTCATTCAGTTAAGAATAAAATTTAGCCGCGGAGACCGAGGTTCACATCCCGCTGTATCACATATATTTCTTCTCTTTTTACTCTTTCTTGATATCATTTACCTTTAGAGAGATCTCTCGTTCTTTATAATAAAGTATTTAATTGTTTATCACACATCCTCTTTAAACTTTCTAAAAAGAAAGGCATACTATTTATCTGTTCATTGAGAGTCCAACTTAACGGTATATATATGTATATATATATATATATATATATATATATATATATATATATATATATATATATATATATATATATATATATATATATATATATATATATATATATATATATATATATATATATATATATATATATATTAGGTATATTTGTATAAACATTTAAAGAATCATTTGAATTGAACATTTTTTTATAATTTTATTATTTATTATTTAAACTGTTAACACTTAATATCTTAAATATATCGTAACATAAAATCCTTTGCGTCTTTTTCGTAGCTGCACATTCCGGAATGCTCCTTCCGTAAGGAACTATTTCGTAAGTATTCTTACGAAATGATTTGTTTCGCAAGTTTTCTTTCGCAATGCTTTATTACGGAATTATATTTATTTATATTTTCGTATAGTGCGTTACCGAATTTGCATTTTTGCATGTGCAACTTCCGCAATAAAAATTCTATTACGGTCGATAAAGATGCGAAATTTTCGCAAGTTTTGTTTTTCGGCGAACAACCCTAATCTACACGCTTTTTGTTTGGCGGATAGTCACTAAGTTGATAAAAATTGCGATAAACATGGTCTATTGCAAATTGTAAATGATTAAAATTTGGATTCAAATTTTAATTGGATCCAAATTTCTTTTTCGACAATCCATGGGTTGTCAAAAAAGAGATAATGACAAGTTTAATTTCATAGTTGCGAGAACACTTATAACCAGTAAAAAAAAATTAAAAAAGTTCAACAAAAAAATACATGATCTTAGTCGACCTTATGTTGAAAAGTACATTGAAGCTTAAATTTTAACTAATATTACGCATAAATATAAACTTAAACTATTATTTGTTACTTAGATTTTAAATTAAAATATTTTTTAGTCGGTTAAACTAAAAACCTTTGTTTTCTCAAAAACCCAGTCAAAAACTCATTTTAATACAAATTATTTTATATTTTAAATAGTTAGAATAATTCGAATATTTCGAGCTTTTTTAAGGCAAGCTATATTTGATACAATTGCATATTTCTACTTCACGCACACTTTTACTTTAGAGTGAATGCTTAAGGATGAACATAAAAAAACACAAACAATGTTATTGTAATCGGTTCATTAACTGTTTTTGACATTTAAACGGTTGATAAATCGAGTCTTTAACAGATTGCAACCAATAACATATAAGGAATGAATATAATATATTCATTGTTTTCATTGTTATTTTTTTCCTTTATTATTTGCAACAAACCACATTTAAAACTGATAAAACAATATCTTGTGTAGTTTATATCAAATGTATTATTTAGCTTTTTTTTGCTTGTCTCGATTTTAGGGCATATCGAGCAAAAAAGCTAAAAGGCGTTTTCAGTAGTTCACGTGACATTCTGTTAAGAATAAATGCTTTGGAAGGTTGGTCTCTAAGGATAGTTAAGCAATTTACTTAGAGGTAAACGTGTCTTTTAAAGTGGTCCTACTAACTTAAAGGGGCTTTTTTATGTCAGAGAAAGATGTTAAATAATGGTGCTTATGATACTTCTTTTTTAGTTTTTTTTTTCAGAGATCTGATACTATATCATTAATCAACCTGGTGAATGTGTTTTGAGATTTTCTACAAACAGCTGTATACAACAAAAACTCAGTTTTTTTCAATATGTGCAAAAAAATTTGTATACTTGTATGTGCACACATCTCTGTATACTTATCTTAACCTGCCAAGTATAGATTATAAAACAGAGATATTTCAATGTGTTATAAATTCAAAAATATAAAGTATATTGCTTTGCTGATATGTACGAGTTGATTTATATAAAATGTTATATAAAATAAATTTATCTAATAATCTTTTTTAAATTTTATTTATTAAATAAACTGAAGTTAATAACATTTTTTAAATATGATTGACTTCATAGATTTGTTGTACTATTTTTAATTATGTATTCTTGGAGTTTAATTTTGTTGTGAAATGTTTTATAGCACATAGTATATTAGCTACACTTTGCAAGATGATAGGTTAAGCTTTTTTTTAAAAAAATAACTATGTAAATTAATTTTTGCATACTTTTAAAATCATTTATTTTTAGATTGAAATAAAATCTAAGTCACAAGCATGGCTAATTCAGGTGCAAAACTACATCCTGACTGTGTTACAACATTCAATGAGTTTAAAGGTAACAGCAACAAACCTACTCATGATTTCCTGATTTTCAAATTAGACGGTATCAATATTGTTCCTGATCTTTGTCCTCCAATTGGTACTAGTGCTGAAGATCCAAGATTTAGTCAGAAAGAGCACCCAGCCTTTGATCACATGGTATCACATCTTTTGGAAAAAGGATCAGGATATGCTTTTTTTGTGTTAAATTATGAGGTAAAGGACGGTCATCGCTCAAAAGTAATTTTTATTACATATGTTGACGACAATGGTCCTGCAAAAACAAAGATGACAATAACATCAAGTAAATCTGCAGTTGAGAAAGGCTGCCCTGGTTTCGGAATAAAAATTCAAGCTAATTCAAAAGAAGATCTATCATACAAGGCTATATTGGATGCTTGTCTGACTTCAAAGTAACTTTTTCTCTTCTGGTTAATGCTAAAAGTCTAATAAATAATGATATTCTTTAAACGTCCAAGGTTTTGATTCAAACAAATATATAGATTTAAATTTTTCTAGGAAATTTTGAAATTTTGCTTAAGCCATTTTTTAAACTGTCCATTCTTTTTGTAATCTTGAGAATCAAGATTTTTCCCATGAACTTAATATTTTTATTGGTTGTGATGTTAAATTTAAATATAAAAAAGTTTGTATTATATTACAATATATATAGATACCATCAGTTTATGTTTAGATTTTTATTACGAGTAATAAAAAAATTTTAGTTCAATTGTTGTTATTTTTTTTAATGTGATAATTCTGTTTTATATTTCCTTGTTTCATAAAACTTTGGTTGTTTTTTTTACACAAAACTAAAAATTTTTAAATATAAGTGCATTAATATATATATATATATATATATATATATATATATATATATATATATATATATATATATATATATATATATATATATATATATATATATATATATATATAGTAACGTTTTTAAAAAATGTTAATCATCGGTGTCTATGCTTTATTATTCTAACATTGTCTTAATGCGTGTGTTTAAGTCTTGTAGTCAAGAATTTGTTTTATTATTAAATTTTATTTTACAGTTTTAATTATAAAGTGAAATAAGGTATTCAAATCTTGCCATTTAAGTTAAATGTGTTTGCTTAACCTTTACTTCAATGATTTTAATCAGTGTCGTGAATTGTATATTGGCTTATAAACTGTATTTTTAGCGAATATTACTTTATTTTTCAATCCGTTACTAAGTTTTAGTTGAAAAAAAACAAAAAACATAATCAAAAAGTCGATGTTCGCTATAATAAATCTGTTTAGGAGTTGATCTAAATGTTGAGATGCATTAGGAAATCAGAGGTCCCCTAAATAGTAGAAATAAGAGTATCGTGGTGATTCAGTACGCCATCATCTGACTATTCTCCCATAACAATTTGTCGTGGGGGGGGGGGGTCTAATTGTGAAGAGGAGTAGATGCAATATGAAAAATTCGTGCAGTGGGGTTACCCTTGAGTAAGCCCACCTCAGTTAAATAAATTGTTTGGGTAGGATGTCGATTCTTAGAACAAGGGATGTTTGAAAACATTCTTTAAATTGGTGGGATACTAATTAATTGAAATCGAAAAGTTTTTTTTCAAAATAGAAGATTTATAATTAGGTAGAAGTGTTCTAAGATCTGCTGTTTATGTTTTGTGTGCTTGCTTCAAAGATCTAAAAGTCCTCAGAGTACCCCGGTTTGCAAGGTTAGAGCTTTCCACACTGCACCATGTGCATGGATGAGCTGAAGCATGTGATTGCAATCCACAAATTATATTTGCCAACTTCATATCACACGAGACAACAAAGTTGATTTCACTGATTGAAATGAGAGAGAGAATGAGCTTTACATTGGAGTAATTCTCTTGAACTCCTTCAGCAACTGCAACCAGAAGTTGCTGTTTTACTCCAGAATCCTTGGACGTTGAAGATTTCAGAAATCTTTTGGTTGGCGGAGACACAGCTTCATTATCTGCTTCATTTTGTAGAACGCCAAGGCAGACTTAAAGAAAACCTCCACCTCCGTCTATTCCAAGTTTAATGATGTGTTTAGAGAAAACCTTCCTTGAAAGTAGAACTTCTTCAGTGAGTGCTTGGAGATTTTTGGCAATGGACAACAACACTTTGAGACTTCTTTTGATCTGAACTAATGAATGTTGTTGTGGTTTGTGTAAAGTGTTCTTCTAGACTTTTTCCGAGATCCTGGAACTTGTGCAATATATTTGGTTCCAGAACTTTTGGCAGACGAGGCATGCCTAATGGTGGAAGTCAGTTTTTTTATTCCACTGTTTGACAATCCTGTATTTAGTTGAACTTGAGCAAGATCCTTTGCGGTGACTACAGTTGGATCTTGAACAACTGCTTAGAGCAAGAAGGACCTGTTAAAGAGTAAAATATAATATTTCAGTTACTTAAATGTGATGGTCAACCTTAATGAAGAATTATATACAAACCTTGTGTGATTGGGAGCAGTTCTCCTCCTTTTGGCTGCACAAGTCTAATGGTTCCACAAGGAGAAGATTTTTTGCTGACAATTGTTGAGCTGGCAATTTATTCTGCCACAATTCCATCAGATTTTGCAAGCTCCCTTAAGTTTTCACGGAACTGTGATGAAGAGCAATGATGGGGTAAACCTCGACCAATAAGAGAGAGACATGTAGAACATCTTCTGTCTGATGTTTTCTCTTCAGTTTTTGTTCTTTCAAGAGGGTGTTTCTCTGTCAGTTTAAGTCGCCATATGTCACAAATCAAGCATTTACAAGCTTGACCACGTGTGTGAACTTTTATATCAACAGTTTTAAATTGAAACAGCTTGGGCAAAACAACCTTCTGCCCTTGATCACACTTTCCAAAGGCCAGTCTAAACGGATCACAAAGACCTTGAGGAATTCTTGGATTATCAAAGTTGAACTGCTTTTTGTAGTTGTTTTAAATTTTGCTGACCAAAAATGGTGTCAATTCACGATTTCCTTTTCTAAGACACATGATACAAAGAACTTTTCTGTTCTCATCATATCTTCTTGCATGATTAGGCATTTTCAATTTATTTCAGGAGAAAAGGTTAAAAAATCGACCTTCAAAAGCTTTGATTTGTAGTAAACTGCCTTTTCCAGGAATTTTTTTGGTAAATTCTTAAAAATATTTTTAAACTGCCTTTTCCCGGAATTTTTTGGTCAATTCTTAAAAATAATTTAAAATTACCAATATTATTCAAAAAGTGCAAATTAAAAAAAACTATTATTGAAAAAACTTTCAGAAAAGCAATATTTTACCCAAGTAATCTTTTACCTATTTGGATTACTACCAATTTTATAACATAAAATCTTTCACATTTTCATATTTTTTGTTTCTTTATTATGTTAAGTAGGTTTTATTATTTTCAAAGAGCTTTTTGAATGTTAAGATATGCTGTAAAAATGTAAAATTTTGAGAATGCTGTCATTTCATGAATATGTGCAAAATAAAAATTTTCAAAAGTGATTTTCTTTCTCGGACGTAATAGGATGATTTGATTTTTTATATTTTTGGAATCCAGGAGTCATAAGCTTTCACAGGCATATTGTGGTTTCTTTGGAATTTGAGTTGACACTTATTGCTCATTTAGGAGAACGGTGAGAAGAACGGATTAAGGAGGGGGGCTATAGCCCTGGGCCCCGCAAATTTAGGGGCCCCCAAAAATATTAGAGGACCTTTTCTTTTTTTTTTAGTCATTTTTAGGCTCCGGCCCATAAAAAGACCTCCAAAAACAAAAATATCCCCGGGCCACAAGAAGTCTTAATCCGCCACTGTTAAAGTTACTTATAAAAAGCTATTAGATAATCAAAAAGAGAAAAGAGCTGTATTTGATTCACATAAACATACAATTACATAGCTTGTTATACTTAATATATTGACAGACATGTACGAAATATAAATAAAATCTAGTATATAATTTGCTTTGAAGTTAATTTTTAGGTTTTTTTTTTTATTTTATTTTATTTATTTTTTTTAATTATTAGTTTTACCATACGTTTGTAAAATTGTTAATGTCTAGAACAAGTGTTTTTTAATAGTATTTTCAGAGATTTTGGGTAATTTAATTTTGTAATTTTTTTTTTTTTTATTGGAATGGAGTAGAATGTAGTAATCAATGATAATTTGTTAGATTTAAATCAAGTATTAAGTTTTTCAAGTTCAATACTTGCAGCCTCAAAGAGTTCTGTGATTGAAGTAGATGAATAAAATAAATTAGTATCATCTGCAAACATTATGGCATCGAGTTTGTTTGAGACTTTTGGAAGATTATTGATTTATAGCAAGAAGAGTAAGGGAGCTAGAATGGAACCTTGGGGATCTCCGCATTTAATTTAAACAATTTTGAATGGATATTTTTATCTGTAATAACAGATTGCTGTCTGGTTATGAAAGCTTTCAAACCATTGTAAAGCAACATTTTTAATGCCATGTTTTTCCATTTTTTTTAAAGTAACATAGCATGATCAACAGCATCGAATGCTTTTGATAGGTCAATAAAGATTCCTAGAACAAATTTGTTATTATCAAAAGAGTCATTTTTTTTATTCACAACATCTAATATTGCATGTTCGGTTGAATGTTGCTTTTGAAATCTGAATTGTTTTTTATTCAAGATATTGTTATAAATTAGGTATTTATATAGCTTATTGTAAACTATTCGTTCTAGAAGTTTAGACACGACTGGAAAGATTGAGATGGGTTTGAGTAATTAAGTGAAAATTTTTCTACAAAAACATTTTCTACAATAAAATTTTTCTACAATAAAATTTTTCTACAATAAGATTTAAAATTCTAACAAAAATTCAATAATTTAAAAAAAAAATTTTATTCAAAACTTTTGTTGCTACTAAATGTAGAATGAGTGAAACTTTATGCCCTATATGTGGAAATCGATGTCTAGTTTTAATCTGAAAGATTAAATTTTTTAAATGTAAGTTTAGTATTGTAATTAGAGTTGTTATTGAATTAACTTAAACTATAATAACTGCGAAATATCATGTTATAGCTTTAAGTATTTTATTTGTTTATTTTCTGTTGTTACGGGATCTTAGCAGGCAAAAGATTAATTATTATTCTTTTTTTAAAAAGTATTTATGAGGGTTTGTATTTTGAAAACACTGAGCGTTAACGACTTCTAACAGAAGAGAATTGCCTAGATTAACTCATGATTACTTGTTGACTGTGAACAAATAGCAATTATCTCTTATACTTTAGTAGTGACCACAGGTGATTTATCTCCTTTAATAGTTCTCTTTTTTCAGAAGTTTTAGTTTTTTTAAATACTTTTAAGAAATAAATATGTTTTTCTGCGTTGAAGTTCATGAAAATCATAAAAATAATAACTTTTTCAAGCTTGTCAGGGAAAAAAATAAGAATTTCTTAAAATTAGCTTTATCATAATTTACACAATAGTTACATATTCTGCTATAGTATTTGCATAACAAAAAGTGAAATAAAATCAGATAAAAAGACAAAAACGGCTCTTAAAAGAGCATTAATTTTTAACTGGCAAATTCGTTT